CTTCTTCTCTGATTATTCTTCATTTTCATCTTTGTTCTCCCAAGTAAGAACTGTACTCCTAATAACAGTGTTTACTCAGTACATGTTTAATATTAAGTACAAAATAACTGGAGTAATGTATTTAAAAGTTACTTGGATAAATTCTACTTTTTTCTGTGTAGTTATCAGTGTGGATTTGCTTTTATTTGTATTCATTTTTGTATTTTTGCATCCTTGATTTATTTTTGACTTTTCAGTTGGCATACAAAATGGGTTTCATTATGACATTTTTATACGTATACATCATTCTCTTCAGTATCCCTCCATTAGTCCCCATCAGCCCACCAAACAGTAGCCTCCCTTCTGCTTTCATGCCATGCCACCTTCTATGTATATAAATAATCATTTTTGATATATAAAATAGTTCAAAAGAAAATTAAATATTGAAGTATACTCGGGAAGGTCTTCCTCCCTCCCTACCTCTTGCAAACCTTTCTGCCTCCATCCTGTAGGCAGGCAACTGTTTCAGTTTCTACTTTATTCTTACTCCTGAGATGCTTTGGGCAAAAATAAGCAAATACACACATATTCCCTTCCCCCCACATCCTCTTCACAAAAGTTGGGATCCTACATAGTCTTCTCACTTTACTTTTTTTTCATTTAATCTTGGCAATCATACTATGTTTCCTTTCCTTTTCCAAACAGCATCTGTCATTACCTTAGAAATCCTTCATTTTTCATGAACTCTATTTTTTTAAGTTTGCGTGTGTGCGTGCCTGGTGTGTGTGTGTGTGTGTGTGTGTGTGTGTGTGTGTGTGTGTGTGTGTGTGTGTGTGTGTGTGTGTGTTTCATGTTTTCATGTGGGTACCTTCAGAGGCCAGAGGTGTCAGATCCTCTAGAGGTAGAATTACAGGTGATTGGGAGCTGCCCAATGTGTGCTAGGAACAGAACTCTGATCCCCTGCAAGAGCAGTTCCACTCTTAGCCATGGAGCCATCTCTCCCATCACAGGATATTATATTTTTTATGTTCTCTTACGCTCTTCACATTGTCTACAAATTCTACTGAGATCCTTTTATTGTTTGTTTCTCTGCTAACACTGAAGAATGGAGCATTAAAAGGCTGACTGGAAGTTGTATACATAGGAAGGGCCTTCTCAATTGGTAGGCTTCATGGCCAGATCGTCATTTGGATACTTAACCATTTTGTTGTGGCTCCAACTATAAATATTCTTTTGGGGAGGTATGTAGTTTGAATGAAAAAAAACATAGTTCCTCATAGGCTCCAGAGGCTACTGTTGCTTTTCTCAAGAAGTATCTTCCCATTACCTATTGACAACGAAAAAAGTGGTGATGGTGGAAATAAACAACTTCTTGGCAAAGTTCTTAAGAGTCAATGGCATGAGCAGGCCTGTAGTCCTATTCCTTACTCTGTTTTAATTTCCAGTTAATTTCTCCCTTCCTTGTATTGTGTTCTGTGGTCCCTATGCATCTAGAACTGTCTTAACTTCCTGATAAGAAACCTACTAGTTTCCTACTAAAGTTAGGAAGTGTAAACACTGAATTATAAGGGTAATAAAGAGTCCTGGGAACTGGGCTATTCATTTATTTTTTAAAAATATTTTATTTTTATGTGTATAAGTGTATTGCCTGCATGTATGTAAGTACACCCATGTCATACAATGCCCAGGGAGGTCCGAAAGGTCAGAAGAGGGTGCTGTGAATCTCCTGGAACTAGAGTAATGGACGGTTGTTAGCTGCCATGTGGGTGTTGGATGCTCTTAACCACTAAGGTATCTCAGTAGCCATATATGTGTGTGTGTGTGTCTTTTGTTGAGACAGGGTCTTCCTATAGCCCCAGTTGGCCTGTCATTACATAGACCAGACTGGCCTTGAACTCACAGAGATCCACTTGTGGTATATGTCACCATACCTGGCTCCATTTTTTTTAAAACAGTGCTGAGGATCGAACCCAGGGCTTCTAATACACTAACACTGAGCTATATTCTAAGCCCTCATTTACTTTTTATTTTCAGATAGTGCTTTACTAAATTGCCCAGGCTGGCACTGAATTCATTCTGTAACTGACCTTAAACCCACTTTGTAGCTCAGGCTAGCTTTGAACTTGTGATTCATGTGCTCATTCTTCCTAATAGCTAAGATTATAGGCTTTTACCATCAGGCCTGGCTTCTATTTCTTATATGAACACTAATTTTTTTAATTTTTTTAACCTCACCTTCACTTTATAATCCTTGATGCCTCTAATTCCTGAGACAATTCAGGTTTCCACAGTATGAATCTAGTTACTTTTTAACTGATTTCTCTCTATCTTGGCACGTCATAGTATTCAAATTTGTTAGCCCTGCCTACTTAACATCTTCCCTATACTCTCTGATATTCTTATCTACTGTTAATTCTTCGTCTAGGATCTCTGTTATTGTTGGTTTATAATCCTTCTTATTCTTTCACTTTCATTTTAGTTTCATTAGAGAAGAGATAAGTGTGTCTGACCTTCCATATTTAACTACATGTCTCCTAAATATGCCATCTTAATATGAATATTATAAGCAAAAGCTGATAGAATGCATGAGGTAAAAGATCACTAGTTGAAACTAAGGTCAAATAATTAGGCAACTGTAGAGTCAACAACCAAGAACACCAAGAACATCTGTATAGATATAGGTGCTATGATCATTAATATATTAGTTCTAATTATAATTCAAAACCCAAGTGGCAACGCTGTGATATAACTGTATGGGCACTTGAATCGCATGGCATAAGGCATGTCCATGGCATAAGGCATGTAAGTACAAGTTCCCTAAAGAATTTTAACATTTTCTATAAAGCTCTGAGAGGATGACTGTATAAAACTGGAAAGTTTAGTAAAAACACACAAATTACATTTTACTTCAGGTTCTTGACCATCAATGACATAATAAGGTTTTTTTTTTTTAAACAAAATTTCCTGTTCTCGTTTGCTTCTCTGTTGCTGTGACAAAACACTGACCAAAACCACCTGAGAGAAGAAAGGGTTTATTTTCATTTTACAGCTCACAGTCCATCATCAAAGGGAAGCCAAGGCAGGAACTCAAGACAGGTACCTAGAGGCAGGAGTTGAAGCAGAAGCCATGGAGAAATGCTGTTTACTGGCTTGCTTCCCGCTGCCTTGCTCAGCTACCTCACTCATATAAGCCCAGACGCATCTGCCTTAGGAGGTCATTGCCCCATAGACATGCCCCTGGCTAACCTGATGAATAAAATCTCTCAATTGTGGTTCCCTCTTCCGACTCTCTAGTTTGTGTTAAGCTGACAAAAACTAGCCAGCATGCTTCCCATTTAAGACACTGTGGTATAATCATACAGGGGGGAAAAGCAGCTTATTTTCTACTGAATGGAAACATTTATGAACAAACTAATAGACAGGCTTAAAGTGATAAGTACACAAATTCGTCATGAAGGAACTAGTATATACATCATAGTACTGAACTGAAATGAATACTGTAATGAAAAAAATACCTCTCTGGCTAGGGATACAGTTCAAAGGTTGAATGCCTGGTAACATGCATGAGGCCCTGGGTCCAATCCCCAGCACCACAAAAGAAGTCCCTCTTGATAACTCAAAATACAGAGAGCACACAATTGATTCCTTTCTCTTAACTCCCAGTACAGAGGCTTTCAAGATGATAAAAAAATGCAGTATTGATTAGAAGAGAAAGATAATTATAGAAAAGGCTGAATGTGATACAAAAACCTGAACAATGTTAGAAATAATCAATTACTAAGAGGTAAGGAAAAGAGATCCTAAATAAAAAGGAGAATGATTACAATTTTCAAATCTACCAATTACCACAGTGGTATTCTGATTTCCTGAGACTATTTAGATAGTATACTTGTATAGCAATTCCCATAAAATAGGCTATTTGCTTACTTTCCTTATGAGGGAAAACAAAATAAAAGTGCTCATGTTTAGAAATGATCATTCTTATTTTATGGCAAATTTTAAGACATCAAGAGTATATATGACGCTAAAAAAATGAAAATATATGCAACATCGAAGACATTGTGCCAAAATTCTATTCAGACCAAAAATGAATACAGAAAAACTACTTTCTATGGACACCCTTGGAACTCTGCTTCTATCATGAAGAATTAATGCTTTTCTGATCAAACATTTGCTTTTAATACTTTAATAAAGAGTGAGTTAATATAGTTTATCCTTGGAAATTTCATGCATTATTTCCCACAAAAGGGACTAAAACCAGAATCCTATCAGGATTCAATCTCATCTAAATAACACAAATTTTATTTATTTTATTAGAAGCAATATTTAAATTCCAGGTTTCTATAACAATTTCCAACATTTTTCAAATATTACATTTTTTTCTCTTTTTATAACTTCTATTAAAAATTTTCTCTGACAGTTGCATATATTTATATGATGAATTCTAATTACTCTCATCCACCACCTTCTCTTATCTTCTACCTCCTCCCTTATCCTATAGTCACTTCTTTTTGTTTTGTGGCCCACTAATTTTAAAACAGAGCAGACTGTGTGACCCCAGGTTTGGAACTATTCATTACAGCCTAGTGGACTAACCAGTGAAGACAATGACTGCCCTCTTCCAGAATCTATCATCAGGGAATGATACAGTCCTGTGAGTCCTTCCCCAGTTCATGACTGACTGCTGACAGACTCAGTGTTGTGCAGCCCAGTCCAGGTAGCTGCAGCTGCTGTCAGATCACAATTGTAACGGTAGTGTGATGCCCAGAAGATGGTATTTCACAGCCCTTCTATCAGCTTTTTCATTCTTTCTGCCCTTCCCCCATTCCTCCATGCTCCCTGAGCCTTAGAGGAAGTGGTATAAAGGTGCTGTTTAGGGGTGAGCACTTATCTGTTACCTATTTTCAGCACGTTGAGCAGCCATGAATCCTTACATTTACCACTCTTTGTTGCAAAAAGAAGGTTCTCTAATTAAGAAAGACAGTAGCAGTGAAAACTAAGTTGTAAAGTTCATCTCTTACCTGGCTCAAAACAATGATTTCATCTGCATCAACCACTGTTGACAATCTGTGTGCAATGAAAATAGAAGTTCTGTGCTTGACCACATCCCTCATAGCACTAAGAATCATCTGAATATTTGATAAGAGTAGGAGAAAATAAACAAAACAGAATTCTCATTAAGTAAATGTAAATTAAACACACTTTTCTAATAGTTACTAAAAAGAGAAAAATAAAGGAAAATGGGAAATGAGTGCATAGTAAGAGAAAAATCATTAAGATAGGCAACATGTCCTTAAAACACAATCAAGGAGAAGATATTTTTTTTAAAAAGACAAAAGCAACACCAGTGATATCAAGAGCATGGCCATATATAATATCTATCAATGGGAACAAAACAAAAATGAGGAAGCGCTCAAGTGACAGGATGTAGAGAAAAGAAAAAGAACTCAAAGAAAGAAGGGTAAACTAAAAATGTCAGGGACCATTTGCTTTTCCTCAGTTCCAATTCAAATAACATCCACGTACTTTAACTTGAAGAAGCCTTTTTTTGAAGAAACATTTTGAGTTCTTACTGTATCGAGAAAATACATTTTGTATACTGCCTATGAAGTATAAGAGAGTTCTGTATGTATTCAGTTATGCTTGCAAACCTGGGTCTAAGGAGAACTGGCTGGCTAGAGACAACAGTGTGGTCGGTGGGGATACTGGCTTCCCACAGGTATTACCAAACATTTTATTTATTAAAAGTCTAAAATTATTGAAAGAAGTTATCTGAAAAGATCTTATGTTTTACTAGGATATAGTAACAATCAAGTTTGTGGACTCTCCTTTCCTACCTATAAGAACTTAAACTTGCCCTATTGAGTGTTCTTTGATCTTTTAGAAGAGCCGATTGAAATCTATCAAATTTCTAAAAGTCCTTACTCTCAGGGACTCTTGGTAAACTCTTAATGGGTTATGATCTCTGGCTGAGTAATGCCATGTGACTCAAAGATGGCTCTTGGGAATTTCAACTTGTACAACATATTTTTAGGTATAAAGTTTTCATAAGTAAGTTTCTATTCTCCTTTGAATGGGATTAGTCTTGCTTAAGTTTCACTCTAAATATAATAAATTCTCAAACTAATTCACTTAGTGTAACTGTTTTAAGTATGTTGCTGATGAAATAATGTACCCTAAAATTTAACTCCATATGTAAATATTATACCATACAGCCTGTATAGATGAAAGGAGATCTATACTTTTAACAGTAAGTTTAATCCATATACTGAATAAAAAGTGGCAACTGACAATATCTGTCTATCTTTAGTTGTGAACCAAGTTCATGAACTCATCATTGCTGTTGAGATGTTTGTATGTAATATAAACATTTTGTTACAAAGCATGATGCGGCTGCTAGAGTATCATGACATCAGTGTCACCACATCTACTGTTATATAACACTTGTAAAATGAAAAAAAATAGATATTATTACTTAAGGTTGTATGCCTAACTTGCACCTCAATGAGATGCTCCATAAGTAAAAGGTTATCTGGTGTTCACTGTGTCACATGACTTGTATTAATGACTGCTAAATGACAATAGGAGAGTGACTAAACCTCCCTTCATCCACATACTAGGTGATTTATACAGTTTTGCAAGATCCAAGGGTAATACAACAGCCTAAGTTATCACACACTTTCAAAAGGAGGCATATTTGTCAATAAATTTAGCAATATATCATCTGGTTTAATAAAACCTGGCATTCTTACCATTCCATAAACACTTGCCCTATGGGAGGAAGAGGCTAGGTATTTTGCTTTATAACACCTCCTATTGAAAGTCATTCAAAATACCAAGTAATGTAGGCAATATACAGAAGCTTCCTAGCAGAAACATTTAAGAGTTCTATACTTTCGCTGTCATTTACCTCTTCAGTAATTGAATCTAATGATGAAGTGGCTTCATCATAGAGAATGACTGGGGGGTCTTTCAAAATGGCTCTTGCAATTGCTACTCTCTGTTTTTCTCCTCCTAGAAAAGAAAAAAAATAATTTAAGGAAACATAATACGGGAATAGTACGTTTTTAGTATTTCTATTGATTACAATCATCAAGTTGACCCTCAACATTTATTTACAGTCTTTTTCGGTCTTCACTGTACAGTGTTGTATAGTCTAAGCTTATGTAAGATATCCTATGACAGACTATAATTCCTCAGCCATAAAGGCAATCCTAAAATCTGATTCATGTCAGTGAAAATAAAAGTGAGGAGAGATAACAACCTTAATTCTCCAATTGTTCTCATCAGAAACATGTTTATCATAGATGTTACTTTATATTATAGATATTTCTCAATAAACAACAACAACCTTAGATAGGAAAATTTCAATATCAAAGAATAAAAGAAACCAAAATCCAAATTCACAATGTGAAACTGGAAAACTTGAAGACATGAAGCCATGAATATCCAAACTTACCTCTTTTAACATGAAAAGGTACCATTCAGGTAATATGCCCAAGGATGTTTTGAGACAAAGCTATTATTTCATAACATTCTTCAAAATAAGGACATATATTAAAAATGTTTTGCCTTCTCTTAATTATTTGTTATAGGCCTCAAGCATAATAACATTTTTTTAAACTAAAAGAAACAGAGCACTACAGAGATCATTTGTTTAAGGTCACAGAACAAGTTTCAGCAGAATCTAGAGTATGTCTGAATCTGCTCCATTTCAACACTCTTTCTATCACAAGGTGCAAGGCTACATTTATTCCTAAAAATAGGAAAATACTTAGGAAATATCTGTGTCCAAAATAAACTGTGACTATATGTAAGGAGATATAAAGTGAGCTGGCTCAGCGAGTAAAGGCACTTTGTGCCAAGCCTGATGACCTGAGTTAGATCCTGAGGAACCACATGGTGGAAAGAAAAAAAAAATCGACATCCACAGGTTGTCCTTTGACCTCCATACACATGTGCACATGCACAAACTAAATAAATGTAATATAAGATTTGGGGGAAACAACATGGTGGAGTGATTTCCACAAGCTGTCCCTTGACCTCCACACACATGTGTGCATGCACAAACTAAATGAATATAATATAGAATTCAGGGAAGGGGGCGTTTGAGACAGGGTTTCAATATACCATTGAATAGAATTAAAACTGGAATTGATTTTATACTTGAAATCTGAGAGGCATTTCAGAACTAGTCCTTCTTAGGAGGTACTTCTTTCAGAAGCTTTCTGTTATAGGATTGATAGATGGGCAAGCAGTTAGTTTTGGTGTGGCACCTGTTTTGAAAGGAGAATTTTGATCTTGTAAGATATATAAACTTATGAGTATTAGACAAGATATGGTAGTTTGAATGAGAATGTCTCCCATAGGTTTCAAGTATTTGGACATTTTATCCCTAGCTGGTGGCACTGTTTTGAAAGGTCTTAGAAGGTGTGGCTATGATGCAGGAAGCACATCACTGGGGGCAGGCTTACAGTTGTTAAGCTTTGCAGGATCTGGAGTTGCTCTCTTGCTTCCTGTGCCTGCTTGAATATGTGAGTGCTCTGCTTTCTGTTCCTGCTCCTGCTCCAGCCACCTCCTGCCACCGTGCCCCCCAACATGACGGACTGTTATTCCTCTGGAACCGTAAGCTCAAACTCTTCCTTCTATAAGTTGCTTTAGTCAGAGTTTCTATCACAGCAACAGAAAAGTAACTAATACACAAGACATAAGGTGCTAGAAAATCTTTGCTGGATTTTTCTAAACCTAAATCAAAACTTTCTAAACGATTGCCAATACCATGACAGCAGGATTATTTATCCCCTAAATCATTTTGCATAGGAGCCAAATAGGAGGTATAGTATGTACCAAAAATATGTTGTCAATAAATGAACTTTCAAAATATTCAGTCATTGTAAAGTCATCTCATTAAATCTAGCATCCTCGTGATTAAAGATTTACATGGAAACAAAGAAGCCTCAAAATGTCTTTAACCATTGCGCTAACAAGGATAAGGAAGCGGATCAAGTATAAGGAGGCCTAAGCCATTGAACCCCACCTAATAAACAATGGTAAAGATACCCTATTCACTACTGAATTATCGCTCCTACTACTTTCCCAGGTACTTTCCTTTAATGTAAAGACTGTGGATTATAAATTAGCACTAATCTGAGGTTCTATCAATACTATAAATGGTTCTGACAAAACTAGTCTGAAGAGAATATACAAACTTTAAATATACAAGATTTAAAATCTTTGATCACCTGATAGTTTGAGTCCTCGTTCTCCTACTTGGGTGTCATACCCATGTGGCATTCGAAGAATTGCATCATGAAGACCAGCTAATTTTGCTACTGCATATACTTCCTCAGGTGAAGCATTGATGTTTCCATATAAGAGGTTGTAGTAAATAGTATTATGGAAGAGAACAGCATCCTGAAGCAATATATATATATAAAAATATACAAACATATATGCATGTATGTACATTATAAAAATTTTATCAATTGTAAAGACCTAAAGAATAAAACCTGACAGTCTCTTTTATCAAAGTCTCCACAGTCACTTCTCTTCCTAGAGCTAATCACCATGTGTAATTTGCTGTTTTAATTCAACTTTTTTCTAGATATCTACATGCCTAAACATATGCTTTTTTCTACTATAAGGAAACCCAATCTATACATATTATTTTGTAAACTGGTTTTTCTACTTGACATATCATGGGAATTGTCCATATGTATAACAGGAACACAATTCATTTCTTTAACAGTCGTACATTTCATGCTACCGATATAATTTATTGCTAGATATAATAATTTATTCCCCCATTAATGTACATTAATATGATTAACATGTTGGAATAAAATGTCATTACAGAAATGACTTTACACACCTGGGTATTTCTGCAAAAGGGAGTCCTAGATGCAGAATGATGGGTCAAAAGAAGTCTATGTCTACCGTGTGACACTATTGCTCAAAAATCTTGCAAAAACAGTAAGCAGTAATGTATGGATAAGATCTTATCAATATCTTTAGCAACTCTGGATATTAGTAATTTTTCTTTGTTGCTACTTTGAGAGGTAAAATATTCTTTTTTCCTTAATTACTAATGAGATTAAATATATTTTCCTATATTTCTTTTTCTGCTTTTGTTTTTAAGACAGGGTCTCTCTGTAGCCCCAGCTATCCTAGAACTCCCTATGTAGACGGGGCTAGCCTTGATCTCAGAGAATATCCATCTGCCTCTTCCTCCACAGTACTGAGTTTAAAGGCATGCACCATGCCCAGCATTTTCCTGTATTTCTAAGAAGATGTACTTTGGATTTGAAACTTAGCCAACAATTTGTGCACCATCTATATATTTATCAAAGTTCACCAGAAGCTTACTCAACTTGTTCTGCCATAGCACACTAAAGCTAAGTTACTGAAAGTGGGTATTCATCTCTTAGTCTTCTTTCAGTCTCCAAATGGTTGGAAACAAGGAGAAATAAAATAGCTCCAACAGTTAACATTAACTAGGAGACCCAATAAGAGCTTCTTTTACATGATTATCAGGCTCAGAATTTCAGATATTATTTCAGATACTTTAATCATTTACGTATCCATTACTAACATAAAATTTCTTACATTAAGATGGTACCAAATAAGCTCAAAGGTCTTTAAATAGGACTATTTTACAGTGTTTCATATTCAGAAAAAATAAATGCTAACTGAAGATTATAAAAATGGAATGAAAATGAGTGTGGCAGTCCACTCTCGAAATCCCAGCATTCATAAGGCTAAGACAGGTGAATCATGAGTTCAAGGCTAGCTTGTACTATAGAGTGTGACCCTATCCCCAAAAGACAAAACCATAAATGGACATTTAAAAAATGATTCTTGGTAAATAACACTTTAGCTATTCTTGCCACACAGTAAAAATGGGTAACTTTGTGAGCAATAGAACTCAATGCATTTCATTTCAGTAACCACATTATTATCTATATGTATCTGACAACCTATGTACAATAACATATAATACATAATATACAATAAAATTTAAAAATCAAAACATGAAATAACGATTGACCCCATTATCTAGAAAAAAACCCTGATACTTTGGCATATATTCTCCTATTTTTTTCACTACTTGCAAGCAATATATTAGAAAACTGGCCACGCATGGTGGTGTGGACCTATAATCCCAGCACTCAGGAAGCAGAGACAGATCTTTGTAAGTCCTACCATAGTGAGTTCCAGGTCAACCAGGGCTACACAGTGAGACCTTGACTCAAAATAAAAAACAAAATAAAACAACAACAATAAAAACCCTAGAATATTCTGATGCCACTTTTTTTCAGCAAACTCTGAAACAGTATTGGCATACTGTTTGTGACTCAGTTTTCTTTAAAACCATGTTTATAAATGTCACCTGATCCTATGAGACTTTTTCCATTCAGTTACAGTTGGATATTTATATCTAACTTTCACTATTATATATAATGCTATAATGAACATTCTTGCATATAAAGACTAGTTTTTATATTTTTGCCTAATTTCTTACTAAAATTTCCTAGAGGCAGAATTACTATTTTGCTAGCACTTCATGCATATTGACAAGTTGCCATATATGCCCACCAGAAAAACCAGACTGTCCATTTTACATACCCATGTCCAAACTGGATATTATGAATTTCAAAATGCTTATCAATCTGATAGGTAAAAATGTTATCCCATTTTCTCCTAATTTTATGTTACTAATGTCTCCAATAAGGATGAGTAGCTTTCTTTTTTGGTGAATAAAATGTTTTAGCTTTGAAAAGGATGAGTGAAATCATTATATAGCCCAAGTGGACGGCAGGAATCTACTTATATGAATGAGGACACTAAAACCCTTTGAAGTCATAGCCCAGAATCCAGTTCACCTGATAAACAGTATAGTTTGATGTTTCTTAACATAGTCTTAGAAACCATCTATCAGAATCCCCTAAGATGCATATTCAAAAATACAGGTTTCTGGGCTCACAGTGCCCAACAGAATCAGAAAAGTGTGTGACAAAGAACTGGCGTTTCAATGATGCCCCTGAATGATTCATAACCCTAAAATTAGGGATTCCTAGCAAAAGACAGGACAGAGAAGAGTGCCATATGCTGGTGAACTTGGGAATCTTTTATAATTGGCATATCCATGCTTACTCACATTTTCTTCTTTTTTTGGTTTTGTTTTTTTGAGGCAGGGTCTCACTCTGTAGGAATGACTTTTATAAAATGGACAGAATCTGGACTAATGACTTTAACCTTGCCAACAGAAAACTATGAAGTCACTGAACCATGTACTCTTGTAACTTGGCTACCTGAACTTGATTCCTCAGAATCTCAATTTGATACATCACCCTAAGATAACAAATTAATATGGATATGCTTGAGAATTAATATATCAAAGCACTGAAAGGCAGTACTCCCAGCACATCTTCACTGAAAACAATAAAGACTGAGAAAGAATGCTTGACATTATGTATATGAGATGTTTTAGGCCTAAGGATGAAAAGACAAGATTGTCTGATAAGGAAGGATCTAAATTTGCAGCTCCCAAAAATTGATGCTGGAGAACCTACTTTGAATGAAAGTATGGGTGAAGCCTGCCTCCTAGACACAGTTCCAAGAGATATCTCTTAAAAATTAAAGTTAATGGTCAAGCTGTTTTATTTGGTTATTAACTGTAATGTGGTAGCGTAATGTCATGTCACTTTCTCTGTAGCTCCCACTGGTCTGAAAGTCCAGACTGGCCTGAAATTTGCAGCAATTTTCCTTATCAGCCTCCTGTGCTGCTTAGTTTTTGTCAACTTGACACAAACTAGACACACTTGGGAAGAGGGAACCTCAAATGAGGAATTCCTCCATCAGACTGGCCTGTGTGTCTGTGAGGCATTTTCTGGATTAGCAGTTTCTTAATGTAGGAGAGCCCAGTCCACTGTGGGCACTGCCAACCCTGGGCAAGTGGGCCTGGGCTATATAAGAAAGGTAGCTGAATGTGAACCATGGGGAGCTAGCTAGTAACTATCATTCCTCCATGGTCTCTGCTTCAGTTACTGCCTCCAAGTTTCTGCCCTGAGTTCCCTCAACCATGGAGTGTAACTTGTAAGATGCAATAAACCCTTTTCTCCCCAAGTTATTTTTGGTTAGAGTGCTTTATTATAGAACATTAAGCAAAGTAGAACACCTCCCAAGCGCTGCAATTACAAGTATGATCCACCACGACCGTCCTGACTACTTGAGGTTTTATGCTCTCTCTTCCCCATATTTCGATCTGTTCTCCGAGAGATTTGACATTGGTTGAAGGAATCAACTTTATAATAAAAACTAGCTGGAACTAATTCCCAGGTCTCTCTAAATAAGACTTCCCTCTCTTTTCTCTCTGTCTTCTGTGGGGGAACAAACTCAGGGCCTCATGTCACTAGATACGTACTGTAACACTCAGCTAACATCCTCAATCTCCCTCTACAAGCTTTTAATACAAGAAAATCTTACATCCTATAGGGCAATCTACTTATCTTCTCAGGCTTTACTTTAAATTTATTTCTGTCCCAACATCACTCAGCAAATATTATTAAATGCTTACTATAGGTCAGTCATTATATGCTTGGTAGTAAGGAGGACACAATGTACACAAGGCATACAAACTGAAGATTGGTAGGCAAACTACTTTGTGATTATAAATTTGCTATGCTGAAATCTATTCAAAATTACTAGTTTTCATTTTCTGAACATTTATATGATGGATAGTATGCTTCGTGCTTTACAGATATTATCTCTAGTTGACTAACAATAATTATACCTTATATAATAAATGGTATCTTTATCTTAGATATGAGAAAACTGAGACCTACACCATATAATAAGTCTTATAGTTCTGCTGGTTAGAATCCACATTCGATTCTGGTCTGTGCTTCGTCTATTCTATTACACTAACAGAATTTCACCTGAAGGGACTAATGCTTCCCACTTCACTAGCAAATGTTGACTCCTTGGATTCAAATTATTCTAGTTACATAACCACTAACCCAATAAATATTTGAAGTTTTCGGTTTTTAAATACCTGAGGTACTACTCCCACTGCCCGTCGAAGGCTTTCCAGGCTCACATCTTGTATATTTTGACCAGCAAGGTAAATGCTACCTTTTTGAGGCTCATAGAAGCGAAACAATAGCCTCACTATTGTGCTTTTTCTGAAATTAGACATGAAAAAAGGTTATTCAGCATCTGTTGGCATTTAGGAAACCTCCAGTTTAAACCACAGTAATCATTTTACCATAAGAAAAATTTCACATACAGAATTATCATTCAAGAATGTAGAATTTTATAAATAACTAAATTACCCACCCTGACCCACTACCTCCTACAATGGCCACTTTCTTTCCTGCAGGGACTTCAAAAGATACTCCACTAAGGACTTTCTGTCCTTCAATGTATTCAAAATGCACATTATCAAAGGCCACTGTAGCTGTTTGTGATGTTATTTGAAGGGGAGAAGCCATCACTTTGTCCTAGCAGAGAAGAAAAAAAAACAATTTCACACCACTTAAGAATACAGCTGCTATGCAGATGATTTTTAAAAATTCATTTTAATTGAATTTTTGTGCATTTTATACATAACATCTCAAAGAATCTACAATTTTCGAATTCACAGAGAGAAAGGAAAATAATGGAGCAGGAGGAGGTTTATGTAAGTGGAGTATTGCCACTTTCAAGCATGTTTTCAAAAATTAATTTTGTTTTTCACTCATCACTGCATAAATATGCAGGTATGAAAATCTTGTATATTTGGTTGCTGGGAAATATTTGGGGGTAAGGAAAGACCATGGTAAGGAAAACAGGGGTGGAATCTATGAAGAGAGGCAACCACAAATTCTATACCATTATTAGCCAAAGGAAAGCCAATGTAAGTACAAATAATTTAACAAACTTTGTTTCTAGGCAATATTTTTTGCTAACATTTCAAGTTTCTTAAACATAAAAGTGAAAGCTATAATAATCTTTTAATATACACAACAGCTCCAATTCTTGTAAGACAAAAATTGTTTTGTTAATCTGGTGATATAAGAATACCCTTCCCTCTACCCTGGGGACTGGAGAAATGGTCTTGAAGAAGACCCAGGTTCGATTCCCAGCACCCACATGGCAGCTGGCAACTGTCTATAACTTCAGTTCCAGGGGAATCTGACACCCCCATCTGACCTCCTCGGGCACTCATGACACAGGTGCACTTACATACATGCAGGCAATATATTCATATACATAAAATAATAAATAAAAAATATTTTAAGAATAACTCCCTAGAACAATCCAGTATTAATGAGATGTTCACATACTTTTTGAATACATTACTGCATATGGGTATATGTATATATATATATATATATTTTTTTTTTACTTACTTTAATTCGAGTGTCTACCTTAAGTAGAGTAAACAAGGTGTTCATATCTATGAGTGCTTGTCTGGTCTCTCTATATACAGTTCCCAGAAAGTTAAGAGGTAAGGAAAGCTGAAAAAGCAGTCCGTTCACCATTACTAGATCTCCGACAGTAAGGACACCTTAGGACACAATTGGCAGAAGAAAAAAACAAAAGTGCTCCAGATGAAAGTTATAAGCTTTTCTAGGTTAAGCCAGATAAACTTTTTTATCCTATTTTTATGAAATTCAGTTCTAAATATACTTTATACTTTATTGAGTGCACTTTACATAATCAAGGACGACTCTTTGGCTCATAAAATCTCAGCTTATGAATGCATGAATTAGGTATTATAATGAACTTGATATACATTAAGTGGAATGGGGAAAACACGATACACTCCTGTGGAATATACAAAAAGAATGGTGTGAGTGAGGATAGAAATCAAAGGTTACAAATGTTTCTTTCTCTAAGACATAATAACAGTTTTCTATGTGGTATAATAAAGAAATTTTACAAAAAGCACATACATTAAATTTTGAGTGAATGAATATCATGACTGAGAATGACAGGTCTCATCTTAATGTCAGAGTGAATGAATGAAAAATAAGCACAGATATTACTAGAAAGATATTGGTAATTATAAATCTGGATGTACTACATTTTGGTCCTTTAAGCACCAAACTAATGGCACTGCTTTCCAGGTCTACAAGAGAAATTGTAAATACTAGATGGTAAAATAAAAGTTTCTCCTAAAAGAATTAGGTTGTAGACCCATAAAATGTGTCAACAGGACACTCTTTGAGTAAGTCAGTGCTAACCAAAAAAAAGAAGCAAAATAATGGCCAATCAAGAAAACACATTCTGATACAAAACTAAAAACACTCCAAAAATGCCTAAGTGCTTTATTGAGTGCACTTTATATATTTTTTCTGTTAGCCTTTATTTATAAAAGGTAAGCAACAGAGTCTCTAAATATGATATCCATGCATCCATTACCTGCCACAATTCCCTGGCTGGCAAGCACCATTATAGCTGTTAATCCAACACTGAAAATAGCACTTTGGCCGAAGTTCAGCATAGCCAGAGTTGAGGTACTTTTCAATGAAGCAGTTTCATATGTCTTCAAAAATCCATCGTATCTTTGTGCTTCATATTTTTCATTATTAAAATACTACAAAATATATAAAAATAGTAACTATGGACAAGTATAATTTGAATTGCCTTTTCCATGACTGGTACAAACTTTATTATACATGGATACACTTTTGTATTGCAGACCCCATCTTAAAAACCATGCCTTTTACTGATCTGAATTCACCATTGTGAAGGCCTTCACCATACCTTCTTATCTGGTCATCTGCATACTTATTTTAACTCTTCTAGTAGATTATAAAATTCTGAGAAGTCAAGGATTACATTGTAGTCATTTTTTTTTACCACATTCTCTCATCATAGCACTCAGTATATTGCTTTGCACATTAGAGGAATTCACCAATTATTTGCTAAGTGAAAAAATGTAAAAACGAATGAAAGAATTAGGAAAAGCACTATGCTAGGCACAATGAGAGATAGAAAGAGGATCAAGAACTCACATGCCAGCTTCATTAGCTTAATATTCATTCTGAATCAGATGCTAACCATATATTTATAATCACTTATAAATTAATTCAGAAGGTAAAATTCTGATGTCGCCAAATAAAAACAGAGGAAAAAAGACAGGGCACTTTTCTAAACAAAAGGAAAACAAAGTAGCATTATTCAGTCTCACTTAGAGATCCTATCCTAATCTGATGCTCTTTTAGTAGCTATTAGATTAAATGACAGAACAAATCTTAACCAGCATGAAAAGCAGACAAAAGTATACTTAAACAGATTACCTTCACAGTTTCATAATTCAGCAGTGAGTCTATAGCAGCGTTACCTGCATCATTATCCGCTTTGTTCATTTCTATTCTAAATCTAGTTCTGTAAGACAAAGATTTGCACAAGGATGACATATATGTTATAATATAACTATTTTCTGAATTGTGACTGGACTCAGGGGAATACCATACCTCCATCGTGTGACAGCAACTGTGAATGCTGTATATGCACCAAGTGTTCCTAGGGTCACCAATGCAAACTGGGCTCCACATTTATAATACTGGAAGAAGAGGCCAAGAGAAGAAATGAGAAGCAGTTACTGTTCTTCTCAGTTGCTAACATATGACAGCGAAGTTCAGTCAAAAGAGATTTATAAAAAGTATGATGCTGGTAAGTTATATACGTCAGTAATAAGTTTTGAAGTTGAATACATTAGACAATCTCCTCAGGAAAAGAAAAATCTAACAAAAAAGTCAAACTGCACCTGTCACAATTACACCACCATCAAATTCCAACATGAAAGCTGTATAATAAGCCTAAAGAGAAATTGGTTAATTAAATGATTAAACCGTTTAAAATGTTAGGATTCGTAAATAGAAACCTAGATATTCTGAGAGAATCAGTCCAATGCCATAAACAAAATTCTTGGCTTAAAAAACTTGGCAAGCACTAACGATGCTCTATGTATAGGACTAAACCGTTCTTAAAAATAAAAAAAAAATGATAAAGAATTTGGACAGTCTTTTAAAGCTTGTGACAAAATAATGAAACAAACATCATCATTTTTCTGGCAATGTAGAATTTTACTTGCAAACCCATGGGCATGCAACAGCATAAACAGCTTAAAATATTCAATTGCTATTAATGAGATTGTAAGATAAAAGTTTGCAATGAAAAATGCATTACTTACCAAAACACTACTGACAAGTGTCATCTCGAACACGATGGGGAGAAGATTAAATACCAAAGCACTGAGAACAAAACTGATACCTCTTGTCCCTCTGTCAATTGCCTTAGATAAAGCTCCTGTCTGTCTGCTCAGATGGAAACCCAGATCTAAGTTGTGAAGATGGAGAAATACATTTTTGGCTATTCTTCTGATTGAATTTTGGGCTACTTTGCCAAATACTGCATTTCGAACTTCATTAAAAAAGGCAGCTCCAGCTCTTGACACACCATCTAATACAACATTAAAAAGAAAAAAAGGGGGGGCATAGAAACATTAGAATGATAGCAGTGTAAGTGGCCAGGCCACAGAAAAATCTTTGTACAGTGAATAATTCAGCCAATAATACAACATAGTTACACTATAAGAAACCTAGAACTCATCTACCTTAATGAGTACTAACCTTTCCCTCTTTCTAAATCCCTTTCGGTGCTATTCCCCCTGAAATTTCAGACGTTGACTTTTTCCAATTAAAATAATTTTAATAAATAGTCCAGATGGCCTCATTGTGGACAACTGTACAATATCTAATTCAATTGCCTCAAATAACAAATGAAAAAAGCAATTATCCAAGGAGTCAAGTGCTTCGACTAAAAGCATGCCCCTGCTCCTGTCTCTCAAGTCTCATAAAGTGTCCTTTCTAGTGCATGGAAAAACATGGCATTCACATTTTTTTTTTCTTTTCAAATTTTAGATTTGTGTCATGGTCATTATTTTTCGATAAAATATTAACGTACATATAATTATTTAGCTACTTCTCTTTAGTAGATAGCAGGAAGAAAATAACCAGCCTTAATAGAAAGGTATCTTATAAAAAGCCTATTAGAAGTGGTTGCAATAAATCTGTCTTATTTAATCTTATTATTTTCTTGCACAGCAAAAATGCTTTTAGCACAAAATTTTTGCAAAGTATATCATACAAATAGTTAAAAAAATAAAAAAAAATCTCATAAAACAATAAACTTCTAAAATGCTAAGTTATGTTTGTGGTGAAAAGGTCATCTGCTCAAATAAGATGAAACCTTCTTGAAGAAAGTCAACACCTGCAGACAGATTAAAGAATTACACATACAGCCAATGAGAACTGCTGTTGCCATGGTTGCAACTGTATTTGGTGCATCACTCAGGTTCAGCATGTTTCCCGACATCTGGTTGAGGCTGTCTACAGCATATTTAAACATGAATGGAACCATAATATTCATAGCCTAAAAATATAAAAACATCAATTACCCATCATACATAAAGCATTTATTAAAAAGTATAAATATTTTCCTTAAATTAATATTTATGGTAATGTTTATATATTAAGCATTAACTGGAACTGAAATGATTTCCCCAATTTATAAAGACTAAAATCTTTGGCATTGGGAGTTCTGCTAGTTACGATTCCTACATCAGACTGCCATGTTAATATTAATTTACAAGCTATATGAGTAAGTCACATGTTCCTGCTTCCATGAAATTGACTTTGATCAGTCGCTCAAAAAAGCTATTTGTAATGTGAAATCCCACAGAGCTCATGGCACTAAGCAGCAAGGAGCTTTGCATTATAGTTATTTGTGTATATACTTTCCTTTCCCACTATATCCTTGGCCATCTACATCACATTTCTCTTTTTGCCCCATCCCTATAGAGTAATATGTTTTATATACAGTAGGTAATAATATTTTAAGGTGATTCTTTTCACCATAAAAGGTAAAGTCATATAGCAAAAAAGATTATACAAGCTGAAAAATTATGAGTATCTGTGACTGATTCACTATATTTTTTTTGCAAAAAACATTGATAGAGCTATTTACACCACTAAAGATTCTTTGTTCTACCATAAAAAACAAAACCAATGAACAGCAAACTAAGCTTTCATTAGCTTTGTATCTCTATGAGACTATATCAAAAAAAGGATGTAATAAAAAAGCAGCATTTAGGTATAGGGAATTTATCAGACTACCAAAGTATGTCTGAAGAGATTAAATTGATACACATTAAAAACAAATGAAGAGTTTTATGTTTTATGAGGCCTGTGAAACACACCAAGGTGAAGCACCTGTTCTATCACTACGCTACTCTTCTTGGTAAATATAAAGAATTTATTGTCACATAACAGAAGCTATGCAAATCTTGTCAATCAAGATTTTAAGCAAGCATGTTAACATTAAACAATAACATTAAAATACAAGCAGCTGCTGGAATATGCTTTTAAGAATATAAATATTAAGATACAATGTTTAAACATTTAACCTTCTAACATTCAAAATGTAACCTAACATAGAATATATGGCAGATAACCAATGTACAAATTCTACAATTTTGATTTTCTTATAATCATGTAACTTCAGGCTGTGGCTTCTGTTACAATGGTCACCTTTGCCCTACCTAACTACTTTCGAAAGCCCAATCTAAATTCCTTCTCTTTCACAGTATTTTCTCTGAAACTTGTGCCAATTTGACCTTTCCATTTTCTAATATGTCTTTTTATAGTTGTTTCTACCTCAATATTTATAACCTTTATGATTTATTTCTTGATATATATATATGTATGTATATATATGTATATAAGCAAATTCAGGTGCCATGAGTTTTAATGATATGAATGATTTAGCAGAGGTGAGATTTAAATCCAGGCCAGATACTTGAAATCAGAATTTTTTTAGTAGTATGCTATAGCTCTATTAGCATCTTACAAGACAGGACCCATTTATTGTATTTCTTTTTTTACCTTAAAATGAATACTTTCAAATGCACTGTTTAAATCATTTACAGTTGTAAAGGAAATCATAAGTAACTTAAATAGACGAGAAGGTTCCAGGTTGTCAATATAACGAGGCCACATTTGCTCACCTGCATTCCAATACCTTTTCTTATGTAGGAGGAAAAGGGATGGCTACAGCTACCATGCAATTCTCCTAACTTCCGGCTTATTATTATATCTCTGCCACAGCTATAGGGAGTGATTGTGGAAGCTAATGTATTATCAATAAAGTTGTGCAGTTTTACTTTCTTCAAAATGCTTTTGGGGTCTGGTCAATTTTGAAAACATTCTTGTAAATATGCAGAACATGTGAATGTCATCTGTCCTGTGTTGTTATGGGCAGAAAAGCAAGTTACCAAAGAGCTAACACTAAATATAACTGAAAACTGTCAATTTTCTCACTTTTAAAAGGTAGACACTAATAAAATAATAAGGGTTATATTACAGGTAGATCTTAGTACATTTGTGTAGATTTCCTTTGCCTTGTGATATGCTAGCGATAAAAGTGGTGGCAAATGCTGGTTTTCTATAATGTTCCATCTTCCACACAACTAGACTTAATCTATTCCAGAGAAATGCAAATCATTCATTGAACCCATTTATTTTGGAATAATTGTACCCCCCCCCCAAGAGAATATACAAAGAAACTCACTATTTTTCAACCAGCATCTCTTAGCAATACGTCAAATGACTTCAGTTCAATATCAAAACCACAAATTTAACACTGGTACATTACAACTTAAAACCATATAGAACTCATTCAGTGTTCAACATTTATAACCTGAATTAAGGTATGTGAAAGTATGATGTATGTGGTTCTATGCAATTTTATCTCATGTGTAGATTCATATAACCACCACCACGAGAATCAAGTTATAGAATTCCTCTATCACCATGAAAGAACTCCTTATGCTTTCTTTCTCTCTCTCCTCTCTCCTCTCTCCCTCTCTCCCCCTCCCCTTCCCCCTCCCCCACCTCTCTCTCTGAGACAGGGTCTCCCTGTATCCCCAGCTGGCCTGGAACTCACTATATAGACCAGGCTGGCCTTGAACTCACAGAGATTCTCTAGCCTTCGCCTCCTGAGCCCTGGGATCAAAGGCATGCACCACCATGCCTGGCCTCTACATTCATCTTCATCTCACTCTGTCATGCCATAGTGTCCTAGGCAACCACTCTAGACTCATAGATTGATCATTTCGAAAACATTAATCTTGAAGTACTGGTTTGTGTTCCATTTTGCATAATGCTCTTGAGATTAAGCAAGGTTGCATGTACCAACAGCTCATCCCTTTTTATTGCTGAGTATTATTTAAGGATGTATCAGAACTTATTCAACTATTTACCCCTGAAGGGCATTTTCATTGTTTATACTTCGGGAATATTATGAGTAAAGATGTTATGAACATTGTCACACACAAAGATATAGGTTTTCATTTTTCTAGGTAAAACGACCTAGAGTCCAACTGTTGAATGATATGCAAGTCTAATGCCCAACTTTCTAAGAGACTGCTACACTCTTGCAGAGTGTCTGTACCATTTTACAATAATCAGTGAAGCATGAGGGACCTCTGCCTCCCCCAAAACACTTTGCATTATTACTATTTTTCCTACTGTCAAACTATTACAACAGGTATGGAGACATTCCACTATGGTTCTATCTGCATTTTCCTGAGTACCAAACATTGTTCAATGTGCTTATGTGCCATTTATATCTTTTCTTTGCTGAAATACCTATTCATGCCATTTGTACAGTTTGATTGCATTGTCTATTTTTTCAACTGAGTTTTAAGAATTCTTTATATAATCCAGATGTAATACCTTTTCTCGATATGTGATTTGCAAATATTTTCTGCTAGTCCTAAAATCCTACTCTACTCCACTGTACTTAAGGGTTCCTCTTCCCAGGAGTTATAGAGGTTGAGGTGGGAACCTGTGCATCCATGTCCACCTACCATAAGGCAACACCCCTGCTTCCATAAAGCAGAGGCACAGGAGGCCTGCTAAAAGAATATTTATTAAAATATCTAGGTCCTATAACATAAAATCTCAAGTACCCAGGTTTCAATGAAAATGATTTATCATAGGAACTATTAAGATATCAACTTGAACTAAAAAGTGCAATCAACAGACAGAAGTATGACACAAATACTGGGACTATCTGACAAAGATTCTGAATAGTCATGATTAAAAGACTTTAAGGAGCTCCTAGCCTGCACTACTATCCTCAGGCCTCTTGGGGTAAGTCTATAGCGCAGCTCTCCGAGCCGCCGGGACTCCCTCCACATTCACCCTTCCATCCCCCTGCCTCGCCGTTCTATACTCCTAGTTTGGACCCTGCGCCATTCCTAGTCTTGGGGCCCCAGACACCTGGGGAACCAATACTGTTTCCTGATCCTTC